CAGGAAATTAATGGAAACCCCGCAGATTAGGGTCCTTTTTATAAGGGTGCCGTATTATATTAGGGACCTAAGAAGGGATCCTAATTTAGGGAACTACCCATGTGGCAAACCCCAAACTACCAAACCCGTCATATCCAGGGGGGATGAACCTCTATAAACCCTGGTAAGACCCTGATAACGCCACAAAGTCTCAGCAGAAGGAGCCTTATAAAGTACCGGACCCATCCCTAAACCCGAAGCCCTAAACCCCAAGAAGCATTTGTCAGAGCCGCTGCCCGGAGCCCGCGCCAGAGCGCAGTGAGCTCGGGGGACCTGGAAGGGGCAGCAGAGCGGTGGAGATCAAGGGTCCAACGGGATTGAAGATTGAAGTGTTTAGGGTTTAGGGGTTTAGGGGTTTAGGGTTTAGGGTTTAGGGGTTTAGGGGTTTAGGGTTTAGGGGTTCTGAGGTTCAAGAGGAAAGGGTTTGGGGGGGGGGGACGAATGAGCTGCCGACTGTTTCTTGTCAAGCTGTGTCAGGCACACTCGTTTCGGGTGGAAAGTACAAGCCGCAGGTCACGTGACAGACTCACCCAGCGAAGACACAGCAGGGTCGGAAGCTGTGTCATGTGAGGCGTTTCTTTTTGCCACCGATGTCTGTGCCGAGTCTGCCGAGTCGCCGAACCAAGCTGCCAAGCTGCGATACGAAATATGGACTTCGGCAACCGGCAGAGAAGCAAAGCGGAAGCCGACAAACCCTCTGAGTCTCTCAGTCCAGGAGACATATCAAAAATATCGTAAGTTGTGCCTTAATACATGCTGAAACCAGTCTACATGCTGAAACCAGTCTGATGGGTCGTATGTGTGGTCGAGCTCATCACCAAGCGAGCATTTGCGGGGATTCAACCATACCAGCGATTGGTCAACCTCATAGGAGCCAGTCCGCTTGAGCCTCTCCAGCATCTTGGCGATGACGCTGGCCACTCCAGCATATGTGGCCTGCTGCACCTTGATTTCTTCGCCACCGCCAATCAACGCAATGGATCGACCTTCCTCGTGGACAAAGTTCACCGAAGACCTTGGAAGGTCAAAAGCCACAACGTACCTGGCATGATCTCGCAGCTCCTCTCCTCTCCGTGGAATACCTGCATCCGCGCCGTACTGGTTGTCCAAAACTTTGTAGAATTCTGTACGAGGGTCCAGCTCTGTCGCAAAAACGTAAGTTCCGTGAGAGTTAGAACCCACCGTGACCTCTGACGGCATGATGCGTCCGCTCTCCATGGCTTGTCTGAAGCCGGAATAATCGGTGTAGCAATACACCCTCACCATGCCTGTTGCATTGGCTGCTTCAATTGCTCTTCCATGGTAGGCCGCCTTTTTGATCTCCACCTTGTCTCCTTTCCCGATGCCCAAAACGGATCTTTTTCCATCTGCATCAAAGACCTCCGCTTCTTCTCTTTCAAGATCAAAAGCGATCACATAGTCTGCCCTATACGCCCTGGACTCCCCTCTGCAATCAAGCGTGCCATCATTGTCATAGTTGTTCTGCAGAACTTTCCAAATAGGCGTCTCAGGCCCAAGCTCCGTTGCATAGACGTGACTTCCATAGCATGCGTCACCCAAGGTGATCTCTGATGGCCGGATGTATCCACATTTCACGATGCCGACATAGCCTGCCTCATCAGTGTAGTGGTACAGTCTCATTTTCCCAGCTGGAACTGGGTTCACAATCAATGGCAGGTGTGGAAAACATGGAGTCTGCGACATCGCTGCGAGTCCAACTGCAAGCGCTGCCACCAACACCACCTTCCTGGAAGCCCTCAAGCCGATCCGCTGTTGGGATGCCATCACGCGCATGGCTGGAGAAGCCGGGGAAAACAACACGAGTGATGCGGGGAACTTCCAAAGTTCAAGCTGAAGCCATCGAATTCGGCGACGATCGGATAGATGAGAACCACAGCTGGTGTCAAACCAAACAGTGAGTCACATCATGCCGGTACTCAAGCAACTAGAAAAAAGCAACCTATGCAAAGCCTTGCTCGAGTGGACAGCGGAACATGGCTGGCTGAAACTGCAACGCTTTCTTATCATCCATTCTTATCACCCTGCATCCCTTACTATCATCCAACCCTGTCTTCAAAACCTAATTCTTGACACGTCATCCATTCTTGTCCAGCCATTAAGCTTTCCATCCTGTTGGTCTCCAGCCGGAAGCTTCTGTGCCTAGACTGTCCGACACGGCATAGATGCCTCGCAGCGGCCTGGTTCGGTCCAAGAGGCACATCGAGGATGAGGGACGACAAGGCCTTCTCCTCCATGTGCTGCTGCACGCCTCCGGTGCCAGAAACATACAAAGGCTACACGTCTCGGGCATTCCGCGCTCTGCCTTTGACGTCCCTGTTTTCAGTTCTATGGCTTTGTGCTCTATCTCTGTCGCTCCCTCCCCTTCTCTGTGTAGCTGTTTGACATTTGTTCCAGCGGTACATTAATCTCCTTTAACCCTGAACCCTAAACCCCTTAAAGTCCCTTCAATACACTACGAACACGGGCCTTCAGCAGATGGAGGGCCGCTGTACTCCACATCCTGCAGTGCCTGGCAACTGCCCCGGTGGAGGAAGCAAGTACAAAAGACTAGGGGGGCCAGGGGAGTAGGATTCTAAGGCTCGGGTTTTGAGGCTCATAGGTGTGTACTTAGAGGATCATGGGACTTAGTAATTAGGGGTAACTATAGTTATAATGACTTATAGCTCCAATGAAGGTACTTCTAACTCATGATCCTCCAAGTAGGACTCAAAAGGCAGGTGTAGTCTGCAAAAATTGGCATCCTGCTGCCGGAAGGTCGCCTCCCTCGAGAAAGGTGCTGTCTGGCCCATGGCTCGCCAGAAGTCGTACTCCTCCTCGCTGTGATGGACTTTGGACCGGGTGCATGATCGTACGGGATTTAAGGAATTTAGGGTTAGGTTTTAGGGTTCTAGGGTTTCGGGTTTAGGGTTTAGGGGTCACCACAAGTCGTGGTTTAGGGTTTAGGGGTTTAGGGTTTAGGTTTAGGGTTTAGGGTTGTGGGGCTTAGCAACGGCAAGAATTCAGATTAACGTTCCTCACGCGGACGACAAAATATCAATTCAAGTTGATCCTCCAAGCGTCCCACTAAAGCCCTAAACCGTGAAGCGATCAGTAACATGTCTACCCCCTACAGAGTTCCTAACCTATCCCCTTGGGCAATACGGAATCGCCATTCCATCCTTACTTTTCAGAAGGATCCAAGACCACGATTTAGAAGCAAGTCCTGGCTCACCCAGCGCAGCCACTCTGCAGAAAAGCCCAATCTTTGGAGCTCGAAGCTGCGGCCTCTGGACTCGATTGGTGGAGTTGCATTTACGGTGCTGGGACCCCTTTTTGTGGTTTTCGGGGGCTTATAATAGGATAGATGATGCTGAAGATGATGACGATGATGATGGTGATGATGATGGTGATGGTAATGATGGTGATGATGATGGTGATGATTGATGATCTGTGACACCGTGACGAAGGATGGGATGATGGTAGGATGCCGAGGACTACTTAGCTGCAGACTTCATGCCGAGGGTTGGGTGAGGTCACGCCGAAATCTGTGCCTCTTGGGCTTGCTACCTGAGCCCAACATGAGGGTTCTGCCGGCTGCAGGCTGCTGATATGAACCCCAAAAGAAACTACTGTGGGGCCTATGGGTATACCTAAAAAGGAACTGCTACGGGGCCTATGGGTATACCTCCACCCCGACATGTCATGAACTCGGAAGGGTGCGTCATTTGCCGATGAGGCGAGGGTTAAGGAGAGGCCTGTGAAGCCTGCGGTCTGCGCCGCCGGCACTGAATGGCTCGTCTGTCCTTGGATGTTGAAACCACCAAGACGCGGCCAGAGACGCCGACCCAAGCAGAGTCCGATGCATTGAAACCAACAAAGTCAGCAAGCCCATCCTCACCCTGAAGCTGGCAGCCCGAAATGGAACACAGCCACTGCTGTGAAGCCAAAACGGCTTAGAAGGCTCGAGTCTGGAGCCAAGTCGCCAAGGTCGCCGCGAGCCACTGCTGTGTCGGGTATGTTCCGGATGCTCTGCAACGAGAAGGGCACGGTGGAAAGCTCATGCGTCTTTGTGACATTGCTCAGCTTGATCGCATCCGCTTGCGCAAGAGTCTGCAAAGATAATTCCTAAACTATCCTTCTGCATCCTTCTGCTGGATTGCGAGTGGACTAAAGCCGGAAAGGCCTCCAGCGCCGTGGGCAGACGCGGATGCGTCAAAAGATGGCAGAGCGGAGCACACATCTCCTCGGACGGAAGTGGCAGAAGATGGAAAGGACAGGCCCGAGCTTTACAGCAAAGTGAGTTTTAGGGTTTAGGGTTTGAGTGGGACAAAATCTGGAGGTGAGATTACAGGTGCTGAACGGTAATTCTGGATCGCTGGATATGGGTCTACCCCGGTTCTCTTTGCCGGCGGCGAAGCCTCAGGGCCGGACGCTAAAGCTGCCGAACAAACGAAACCGCATTCCGAAGACCGCCCTATCCGCGGCAGGAAAACTGATCAGCACAGCTTTACCAACGTTGAACACATGGGTAGTTGTCAAAATTGTGACCCCTTTTGGGGTACCCTAAATAATAGGTGCCGTATTATAATAACCCAAAAAGGGACCATAATTTTGACAACCACCCATATTCGCTGTTTTGGATTATGACCTTGCCAGGACTCCTTACGAAGCTGATTCCAAGGCCACGAAACCCGACTCCAGGACGCCTAAACCCTAACCCCGAACACTAAAACGGCTTATTAATCCTAGTTAGTCTTTGTAAAGCCCCAAAACCCTACCCCTTCAGCTCCTAAAGCTAAAAATCCCTCACCTTAAAGCCGAAGCCTAAACCTGATCCCCAACCTCAAACCCTAAACCCTAA